CAACAAAATCGGGAGCTGATTATTTTGCAGTACTAAAACGAAGTACTAAAAATGTTGTAAACTTTATAGTAGACATGTAATGCATTATTTTTTTATTAAACTTTTTATCACATTGGATGTGTTTGATGATTTTGTGTACTCAACAAGTAACATTATTGGTACTTCATTAAATGATATGAAAGACTTGTGAATTTGATATGAACTAGGTCTATTTTGGTATAATAAGTATCAGTTGTGCATTTTTTGGTATTAAAGGAAAATTGGGTGTAATTTACAAATTTAAAGATTAACGATTGCGCCGGTTCTCTAATACCCGCACAACAAATTAGTTGAAAAATAATGAATTATTTGCTGCGGCTCCCTGTTACCCGCAGCAATAAACTCATTTAAAAAAATCACGGGGGTCTATTTGCTGCGATTTTGAACCGCAGCAAATAGAAATTCACACAATTGCTGCCCCCTTAATTGCTGAGGTTCAAAACCGCAGCAAATACCCAAAAATAACCGCACCAAATGTGATTTTTCTAGTAGTGTGTGGGGGTGTTGTCGTACTCACACCCGGGTGTTAAGGGGAGGCCGTGCATCAAATGTTCAACAAACGCCATAACCATAACACCGCAACATCCAGACCTGCACAAAAGTGAGAATACATAAGCATCCCTCCTATACGAATACAGATGCATCAAACACCATAACCATAACATTTCCAAACAAATAAATTTTACCCCATTGCTTGTTGTGGAACCCCATCAACAGCCACAACCTCCCATGGTCTTAGGTGTAAGGGACGTGGTAGTCCATGTTGAATTTGTTGGAGTAGATAAGGAAGCCTCATGCACAATTCAAATGCATACCACGCACTTCGGGAACTCTTTAAGGAATCATAAACTTTAACAACAACCTCCTCCAAATTAACCTCACACAAGATCCAATGTTTATCCTCAACATTCAATGGAATGAAAACCTGTCAATGAATAAACCATTGTTCAAACTGTCTGTGTAGCCATGTAATTACAATACAATTGTCTGTGGAGAACACAGTATATGTAATAGGCATTGAATAGGTCATACCTTTGACAAGCCACGCCAGTCAATGCGTTTCAACAACCTATCTCCACTTCAATCTTCTCGCTTGTCAAATTTTTTTCTCATCAATTGATTTTACAATTTAGCAAACACATATTTGTTTAATAGTAATGGGAGAAACATAAACTATATAAGAAGTGGATTTTAGACTTTACCATGAAATAGAGGGACACCAATTCAGATTGTTGACCCTCAATCCTCTGACTCTTCAACAAGTTGGTCAGGGCATCAATGTGCTGCAAGGAAGAGGTTGAAGTTAATGATATACATGTCTGTGGACAAAGGTATTTATGAGTAATGTGTGTGGAAACAGGCAATTAGTAAAATCGTTTTAGTTGGGAATATAACTGTACACTTACCAAATTGTTTAGCCATTCGTGTGGGTCAATGAGGTCGCGGAAGAACTTTCTATCCACACTTATAGAGCCTGGAATGTCTAAAGTCACAGTAATTGGTTCCTCAGTAGCAGCGCCTTTCACCCAAGTCTTGAGCACATTGAACACTTTATCTTCTTCCTTAACTTTTGTCCCGCTTGCACCTTGACTCGGCTTAACCCGCTTAGCACACGGATCCATAAAAGGACTGTTGTGATACTTCGACATAAATCTCTTTCTTTTCTTAGTAACTTCTGGCTCAGCTCCCTGATCAACTTCATGAGAGTCATGCTTTACAGACAAAATATCAATAATTTCACAGACAATTACAAAATGTGAATTACAGATAATTACCAACAGCTTTCTAATTCAAAATGCTAGCTTGTTCAGATTTAACTTTTTCTCCGCATTTTCCCGCAAGTCCAAGGATTTTCTCATATGCCCAAACCTGTATAAATAACCAAAAAAATAGTTAATCAAATGTCAAGCCACAGACAACTTCAGATTGTCACGCAGACGATTTTCTAAAGAGACAAACTTAGTTAAAACCAACCTTCAACACGTGCAGTAAGACCAAACCGTGAACTTAGCGTTCTTGTAGCCAGGATTCTTAGATAACGCAGCTTCAAACTTCTCCGATTGACCACGCATCAACGACTTCAAATTTCTAACCATAAGGTTATAAGACTCGAGTGCCCAAGGATATTTTTGGAAGTTCTCAAAGTTTTCAACCCAATCAAAATGATCAGCATTGATCTTTGTGTCGTGGTCTGTAGTCAGCAACACACCATCAACCACGAAAAAGGAAGCCAACTTGACAAAAGCTAACGGGTCAATCCTCTTCTTTGGATTGACTGCCTCCATTGCATCCTTCAACTTTTGGTAAGACACACGCTTGTTTCCTTTAAAGAAGATATCTGCCACACTACCTTTCTCATTTTCTTAACAAAAGTGGGTCTGGTGGTGTACGCTGGCAGCTTGGTTATTTCACAAAAATCTTCAAACGTGAACTTAAAGATCTTCCCTCTTATGGAAAACCACAGCTCATCCACGGGTTGTTGCCGAACCAGCCGCAACAACAACATATGAACAATCTGCCCAGAAAATTACATTTCTGGAACCTTAGCAAAATGACCCCATGGAAGCTTCTTGAACACCTCTCGTTGACTGATGAGCATGTAGACAGACATGTTTCCCAATTTGCCAAAATATGTGGCCTGAGAATACTGGGCTGAAAATGGGACTTAACAGGAACCAATAATTGATGCTTCATCCTACGAATAACATAAATGAAGTCATAATTTTTACACACTAATGACTCACACACAATTTTTACACACTAATGACTTCATCAAAGGAAGGCAAACAACACTTCACAAACTACAGACAAATGAAATCATATTTAAATACAGAAAACAAACTACAGACAAATCAAATCATATATAAATGGTATAACCTAAACCGTCTGGACACAAATCACACATTAGGGGGTGAAATTGAACCGGTTCTCTGCACAAATGTGTTCAAGAAGTTAATATTACCTTCTCTTTGAAGCCTCGTCCAAAGATGACAGTGACATACGGATCATTTCGCAGGTGGGTTCTTGAGGGTGGAAGCCGGCTTTCGCACTCACGGAGATGCTTCGTGATGACCAAGGTGTGTGCGAAAAGAGAAGCCTTCAGGGGATGGACGTGGAGAGGCGAAGAAGAAGAGAGCTGTCTGGGAGATATGCGTAGAGAACTGGCGAGGAAGAAGGAAGTGGCGAGGCGGCAGTTTTGGGAAAGGTTCGAACGTGGGGGAGAGAGGTGGGGAGAGAAGGAAGTGGGGAGGCAGGAGTTTTGGGAAGAGGGGTTCGCACGTGGGGGAGAGAGGTGGGGAAAGGGGTAAAAAAATTAATTTTGGCCTTTTATATGGTGTACAGACAGTGTACATTGGATGTACATTAAGCATTTCGTTAGTTATATTCTCCAAACCACCACATTCCGCCAACACTTTACAATTAAACTGAATATATAGAGACAGAGAGCATGCATGTTGTGAAACAAATTTTAAGTATTTACATAAAATTGATCGCAAATAATAATATGTGAGAATATATGATACAATCTCTAAATATGAATCCTCTAATTCTTCACTTACAATTTGAAATAAAATAATTAAAGAATTTAATTTAAAATTAAATCTATAATCCTTCAAATATTCGAACGTTCGTCAGATCTTCAAATCTTCGAACCTTCGTTCTTCGGATCTTCAAATCTTCAAAGTTTTGTTCTTTGAATCTTCGAATCTTCGTTCTTTGAATCTTCAAATATTCTTGAATTAAGAACTCAGCTTGAAGGGCCACCGGTTTTCAAGTGGCTTGATCTTCAACAAAAGGGCCGTTTTATGGCTTGATCTTATGTTTCAGGGCCTCCCGGGATATATGGCTTGATATTCAATTGAATTTTAATTCAATCTTCATATGAATATCTTCAAATCTTCAAAGATTCGTTCTTCATATCTGACGTGCACTTTGTCGTGGTGTGCACTCAAAATAAACATCAATACAACAATTATACGTAGTATAATGAAGTAATGTTCGTATCCACAGGGAAAGGAATATTTCTCTTTTAATTAAATAGTAACAAGGTTTTTTTTTATGATTGTTGGTGAACTTAAATGTATTTAAACACTAAGATGAATGAGTTATGTGTTTTACTTAAATGAGATGAAGACTTGATTTTGCTTTTATCCACTTAATGAAATGTTCATCTATCCCGGTTATATCTTTAACTATCTTCCTCTCGAATACTCAATCGAGGAGTATATCCAATTCATCAAGGGTAGTTATTAATAACGAGACACGTTCATTAATAAAACTTACTACCGAGTCAATATAGAACACGCGCCGTATATTAACCCGATAGTAGCAATAAACTTAAGATGAAAACGATTGAGATTGATAACCTCAACACAAGCGGTTTATCGGTTTAATCAACATAATTAATTCCCCTTAGGTTATTAACCATGAGACGCATGCATTAATAATCCAAGTTTACTACCGTTGAACGAACCGAATTAATAACAAGCGTATTAATCTATTGATTCTAGTATTAATTAATATATGAAACAAAACTAGTTGATCCTTTAAGTAATGCTCAAAATATTAATATGAAATATGAATAGGAATTAATTAATATTCAAGGAAGAATATTATTTAAGAATATGAATCCTACTATAATTAATATAAAGATGTTAACTAATTGTCATCTTAACAAGTAACAACACTCCCCAACATTAATATATAAGAAGAAAATACTACTATAACTAATGTCAAGATGTTAACTAATTGTCATCTTAGCAACACTCCCCGACATTAATATAGAGATATTATTAAGGAAAGAACTAATAATTAATATTCAAGGAAGAAGGTTAAAGAAAATAACTCACAACTTACAATTCATTAAGCTTCAAAGTAGCAAAACCAAGATGGAAGAGTTTAGCTCCTCATTTGGAGACTAAACATGACGAAAATATAAAGAAAGAACTATTCTAAACTGAGCTTGGAAGTATATGTGAATTGGTGTTTTTAATGTGAAGGAAAAGGGGTGTATTTATAGTAAAATGGAGGTGGCAGGGTGCTATACTGGTCGAGTATATGGGATACTCGATCGAGTACAAAAAGTAGTTTCCAGGAAACTGCGAAATATAGGCATACTCGACCGAGTATTGAGTGATACTCGGTCGAGTATGAGACCGGATTTCCATCAAATATTCAGCCATGTTCTTTTGCTCCCAGATTTGATTTTGACCAGCGTATTCGGTCAATATTCGATCGAGTATTGGCAATACTCGACCGAGTACTGAACGAATTTCAAAATCTTCATTTGATCTTCTCCCTTTTGCACATTCTTTGGTCTTTAGAATCCATCCTTTGATTCTTGGGATGATTTTGACCTGTCCTAAGTTCAGAATAATCCTAATCTAAATATATTACAAATAATTATGAAAATAAAGTATTACACCAAAAGTGTGAAATTTCCACAACTAGAACTAATAAAAACTAGCTAAAATACATACAATCGGAAATTACATGAATATCAACTCCCCCACACTTAGCTTCTTTACTCGTCCTCGAGTAAAGTCAAATGTTTAACAGTTCCAAGTCCTCAAAAGTTCAACGATCAACCAGAAAGAGCAAAAGACCATCAAGGATAACATATGAGTGTTACATTGAGTGTTTAGCTCAAAGAACAATATCTTCTTGGGTTTCATGGCCTTCTATGCTCATCTCCTCTTTTCATCTTCTAGCATATCTTTTATTTTTCCACCTTTCCACTCACTCATCATTTTTTTTGTAGGCCCTTTTTGCTTAGATTGCCCATTTTTTGGGTTTTCAACCTGACTAGCATTTCATTTCTTGTTTTGTGTACAAAGAGTACAAGAAAGTAATGATTAGTACAAGGTAAAAACAAAAGGGAATTGAACATACCAAATGATGAGTCTTCCTCCCCAACACTTAGATCAAGGCACTATCCCTAGTGCCCGCCTTCACCGCCATAATAGCCTTTTTGGGGCTTGAAATTCGGACTTGGGGTTTGGGGGTAGAGTTTTGGTTCTTTGTGAAAATGGGGTGGAGAGTTGGATTGGGGGGTATGAGGTTGTAGAGGTTGTAGAGGAGAGTGATGGGAATGTTTTGGTGGTGGTATGAGGGAATTTGGTTGAGTACTAGTGGAGATATGGAAGATGGAAGGTTCGAAAATGGAGATTTTTAGAGAGAGAGTGCGAATCCAACAAATGGAGGTTTGGAATTCTTTTATTAATGCCAGATATCAAAGAGATGCAGGGATCACACCTAAAGTAACTGATTCTCCAATTTGAAAGAGAATATGCTCAGCTAATCATATTGGTCTTTCAATTTGTTTTTCAAATTCAGAAGGTGACACTATCTGGGATTTGGAAGAGAATGGTTTATTCAGTTTCCAATCTGCTTATAACTTTGTAAGAGAGGGGTCTGGGAGTATGTTCTCTTACAAACATGTTTGGCATCCCAAACAACAACTGAAAGTGAAGATTTTTCTTTAGAAACTTCTAAATGGCAATCTTCCTATTACTAATAATTTGCAGAGAATTCAGAGGGTAATAAACCCCTCAATTTGTCCTTTGTGTCGAAGTCAGGAAGATTCTGATGACCATCTTTTTTATCATTGCATTTTTCTTATCCTATTTGGAGCTACTTTATGGGAGTTTTGAATATTCCGGTACCTATTGCTGCTACTTCTATAAGGAGTGTTCTAATTGCTTGGTGGCTTAAGGCTGGTAGCAAGAAACTTGAAGATGTTTTCAAACACAATCTTCCCAGAATTATTTCTTGGAATATTTGGAAAGTGTATACTAGTATTTTGTGGGATGAGAAGGAAAAACCACCTATTGCTTGTCAAATGATTCAAAAAATCAAATGTTATACTCAACAATGGGCTTTATCTCTATCTAATCTGAAGTTGATTTCTATAGGGGATATTTTGTTTGAAGAGAACCTAATTCCCAGAAATTTCAAGTTAACAGGGATGAGATTTCAACTGATAAAATGGTTTAAACCTAAAGCTGGTTTCAAACTGAATACGGATGCAGCGTTCTCACCTGGACAGATTGTTGGAGGTGCGATTATGAGAGATAGCCAAGGCAAGATGTGTTTTGCTCTTCGTTTTCCCCTGAACGCTTCTTCTCTTCTGGAAGCTGTTAGACCCTAGATTTTGATATAACGATTTTGATGATGCCATCCCCATCTTTTGTAGCATTCAAATGTTTGTATTTTACTCTCTAGTAGATTCATCTTTTGTAAAGTCTTGTTTAAAAGTGTCTTGTCCGAAATACTAATGAACAAAATAAAAATGACTGGAAAAGAAAATGCAATAAGGTAATATTCTTTTACCTTAAACGGATGCCTTACAAATCCAACCAGTTAAATTTATTTGTTACATAAGAAGCACTAAAAGATTTTGAACAAACAAATTAATTAAACTGGAACACAAAAATGCAATAAGGTATTAATCTTTACCTTAATAGGATTTTCTATCCTACCAGTTTAATTAATGGTCTAAGTTCAAAATACTAGTTGGGCCAATCACAACCAAGTATGATCAGAAGTCAAAAGAAAAATGTAAGTATCAAATAAATAATACCGGAAAAGAAAAAAATGCAATAAGGTAAATTCTACCTTAAAAAGGATATTTAAATCCTACCGGTATATATTTATTTGATTACGAACATTTTTATCAAAAGGCATATTGGTGTGAAAAATGTGTCAAAGAGAGAACAAATAAATGTAAAATTTCTGAGACTAATAATATTATTACTGGACAGTAAAAATGCAATAAGGTAAATTTATTTACCTTTAATAGGATATTTAAATCCTACCAGTATAATTTTATTAGACTCAGAAATTGTTATGTTCGAACAAATTTACCATGGCGGGTAAAACAGAGCCAATAATTATCCTGCATGGAGAACCGACGTACAGCATGGGCGCACAGTCTGAAGCCTAAAGAGAAATCTACAGTGGCTAGGCGGGCAAAACAAAAAGATCCCATAAGCTCCGAAGAGGAAGATAAACAACAAGTTGTTTATCCTCTGCGATCAAGATTCAACGAACAAGATTAAATCATCTCAACCAACGGATGAGATTAATCTACCGGAGATGCCTATAAATGAAGGCCGAAGCATGAGTCCGAAAATAAGTTTTTGAGTTCAAAGCAGAGAGATTCCATAAGCATTCAAAGAATATCTAGCAACTCTGCTTTGACTCATGCTTCACTAAGCTCTTAGAATAGATCATCATTGTCATACTTTTAGAGCTTAGTTCATAGTTGAAGACTAGAATTTCCTTGTAATTCACAAGTTGTTGTAAAACACTACAGGAGGACAGTTGTTCCCGGCCTGAGTGTGGTTAGATAGGTCAGGAGTACCTTTTGATCCCCACTAGATCAATTGAGAAAAACCTAAAGGATTGAGTAGCTTGGAGTGATGTTGTACTCCTCGTGAAACACCTTAAATCTAGGCCAGAGTTGTCAAGGCTAGATTGGCACTAAGTGTATTGGGCTTAATACATTAGTGAAATCCATTTGAAATAGGATGAGACTGGATGTAGGAGGATTACACCACCTCTGAACCAGGATATACTGTGTGTTGATTTACTTTCAGTCAACAAAGCACACACTGAACACGTCTCACATAAAGATTGGAGTTTGCCAGCAGCATCCTAAACAGTTGTCTTAATTGACTCAACTGCTTATCCTACTGCTTAATTACTCACTCTCTTTGAGATACAAGAAGCCTCACAATATCATCTTTAAAAGGTCTGCCTTAGTCAGAGTTCAGGAAATACTACTCAACTGCATGGCAGTTGCCTCAACAGTCTCCTAAGGACTACTCAATTGTTGAGCCCACTGCTTACACAAAAGTATTTCCTGTAAATATCTTCACACCACCAGACCTTTACATCTTTATCTCTAAGGAGTCTGTTCAAAATAATCTCTGTGATTCAGGGTGATAACCCAGCAGGTACCTCTACAGTTCCCTCACTATCACCCGACTACCTAAGACCACAGCCTAAGTAAAACCCTCTACTTACTTGGCCCAAATCACATCTTCAAAAAGCCCACATCATCCTAAGCAACACCATATAATCAAACCTCTCATACCTTCACCATTACTTCAGCAGGTGCCTCAGCAGTTCCCTGGTTTCCACCCAACTGCTGAGACAACTGCTCTCATTTAAGGTTGATTATCAATCCACCTCAGTACATCATCAGGAAGCTCTTCCCACTCCCAGAAAGATTCTGAATGTACCCTCATCATACTTCAAGTATTTAGTAAGCAGACGACTAAGCAGTTCCCTGCTTCCTAGCCAACTGCCTATCCAACTGCTCACCAATAAGCAAAGACTTCATCCATCACAGAAAGCTGTTACACATTACATAAAGGGTAAAGACTTCCGCTGTGCATCTATTAATCTCTCAAAAGATTATACATCAACTCTTCTAGAGGGAAATATTTGTAAAGGTCGAAAAGATTTAAAAGTCTATTCACCCCCCCTCTAGACTTTTACCCTATCCGGGACCATCAAGTGGTATCAGAGCGGAGTGTTCATAGAGTCATTTCCTGACTAATTTGAACTAAAGATCCTAACCACTCAACTTCCCAAACACTTTCTGAAATGGACAAAAGGTTGGCCACAAATTCTGTGCCTAACCAAAACATATATGATGACTGGAGAACCAAGGATGTTTAGGATGAGCTCTCGATGATTCAATCAGTTGATGATCAAGAAGGCTCAAGTGATGAAAGCAGTACATCAGGAGATGAAGAAGAGACTCTGATTTGTCTCTATGGAATGCACCATGTTGAAAACTTCTCCAATGACTGCTCTATGGCCAGAACTGCAAGCAATGATAATGATGAGGTATTGTCTAGTTCTTCAAACGGCTCAGTTCAATCTAGCTGTTCAAGTGTTGATATGGAAGCTCTACTCCTTCAATTTGAAAATTTTCAAAAGGATCACCTTCTTTTAATGAACGAAAACTGTAGACTTCAAGCTAATCTAATAGTAGCCCAAGCTCAAATGGGTGAAGTGATAAAGAGAAATGATTTTCTTGAACTCGAAAACTTCAGTTTAAAAGAAAGGTTGAGCTCCCTCACTACCCCTATAAGTGAGGAAATCCATCACACCTGGAAGAACACAGGATTGGGATTCACACCCTTGTCCAAGCCATTTGAAGACTCTCCTAAATACTTTCCTATCACAAAGCCCACCCCAGATCTACTAGACACAAGGAATTCAAATCGCCAACCACCTCACTCCCAAACTCTGTCAAAGAAAAGGACTCAGTCCTCCTCCAGACCAAAATCCAAACTTCCCTACAAATTCAACTCCCTAAATAACCAACCAAATCAAAGACTTGGTTGGCAACCAATTACAAAGACCACCAACACATTTCCCAAAAATCTGATCACTTCTAAAAATCATATTCTTTCTCCCCCACATACAAGGAATAGTGATCACAAACATATAGCCTTTCCTCATGGACACAGAAATCCAAACGGCTATAGACCCATCAGCTCAAATCCAAATGGTCCGAAATTGGTATGGATGCCCAAACGCATTCAAGGGAAGATGCCCACAAACTTGTGGGCTGTTATTCAAAACCGATGAAAATGGGAAGGTGCTGGAGTAGCCAACATTGAAAAGATATATCTTCAAGCTACTCCATGCACATGATAGTTAGCAGGGGGCTACTATCAAGTTATGAGATCTGGAAGAAGGACCCAATTTTACAAATTGGGAATGAGAAGAAACCGGAGAAACAAAGGAGCTGGAAGATCCAAATCAAATGCGAACTTTCAATCCAACCTAGGATTGAAGTTCAAATTTAAGAAGCACAAGCCAGCTCCAAGACAATGTTCACACTATGACATTCTCCATGGACATCTGTTTAGATGCCCAGAACAAAGTTGTGCCAACTGGTAAAGAAATAAGAAGAAGCATGGTATTGATTGGAGTTTACAAAAGAAGGAATCTGCTCTCCAAAAGCAGATTCATACATGAGTTAAAAATGGCACCACATCATAAGCCATCTGAAGCTCAAAAACCATCAAGTGGTATCATCAGGTGGTATCATCAAGTGAGATCTCCATCTCAATTACAGAACTCAATAAGTAATTGAGCACACCATGCAAGGGATTTTTTTTTTGAAAAACACTGGAAAGGCTCCAAGCTGCCCTCCCAGAAAAGAAGCTCAAAGATCACTGAACTCTGGAATCAGCAGTTGACTCATGTAAGCAGACCACTGCCAGCAGAGGACTACAACGGGAGATCACTGCCAGCAGTTGAATCAATTCTAAATCAATTGTCCAGACGCTTCAGCTAAATTAAGCACAAAGGCTTAAAAGATCCCAATCTTCACTCTACCAGATGATAAAGGAGGATGAGCTGGTATCTCAAATAAACCATATTGGTTGAACCTACATCCTCCTCAGAAAATTATTGATAACTGGAGAAGCCCTACTGAACTCTGACTGCACACAAGCTATGAAAGAAGTACTCAAAGAACATTTCCTGAAAGCTTGTGTCCAGATCCTATCATCATGAAGTGATAGGAACAAAAAGGGTCTCCAAAAATGAAGGAAGGCATCATTGTTGAGGATAAAGCAAAACTCGTGGCAAAAGGGTACTATAAAGAAGGACTAGATTTTGATAAAACCCTTGCCCAAAGTTGCCCCAGTAACGTCCTACTATAAGAATCAAAGTTTCGACGTATTCTGGATCATTACAACATCATCTATCCAACATCCTTAAAAATGTGCTGCCCATAAGCAAATTCACATACTGGATGTGCCTTCCTAAAAACGGTCTACTGAGAAAAGGAGGACTACGTGGAACAGTCCCCTTAATTTGAAATTATTAGAGATGAAGCATTGAAACTTAATCATTCTCTGGAGTCAGGCAAACTTCAAAAGAATGGTTAAAAACACTCTCTAAACATTTTGTGAAAAATAGGTTCACAAAAGACAAAGTAGACAACATGCTATGAATCCACAAAGTCTCTACACCAACCAAGCTATTGAATTGAAAAAGATTCAAAACATCACGACAAAAGCTTGGGATGATGATGATCAAAGACGAGGAATTGCCCCGTACCCATTCAGGGGGAACTCAGCTCATAAATTGAGGG